AGGCAACTGGGAGCAGTAGATGGACCAGTCACAGGGGAAGACAGAAGAGGGGTGAGGAGTATGCCTTCTGGCTACCACTAGCAACTGCGACCTGAGCGGCAGCCTCACCTGGCACCTTCAGACCCCACTCAGGACTCAGCCCTTGTGGTGAGAATAAGCATCTTTAGTGTTTGATGCTCAGACAGAGGTGTCAGTAACACCGCCGCCTCCGTGGGTCTACTGGCATTACCGAGCAGCTTCCTCTGTGATTCTATCTTCACTTGAAGAGATTAACTCCAGAGTAAGCTAATGCTGACAGCCTGGCATCCGCCTCTGCCTGGGGCTGCCAGCCTGGCTGCCTGCCTGCAATGCAGGGGTCCCCTGACTTACAGAACACATTTACCCCAGCAAAAAAAGAAGTCAAATGAATTCCATCTCCCATCAGAGTCCTACTCCATCTCCATCTCACTTGAAGAACAATCTGCCACCGGGTGAAAGGCCCCTGAGGGCTGGGAACCTTCTTCACCAGGCAGCTGTCCCTGGCCTTTCCTGAAACTGGGGAATTACCTGGCTGTCAGCCACCAACCACCTCTCAGCCCTGGGATGGTCCCCCCCACTCCATTCCTGGGCAGTGTCACTTAGCCCTGCACCTCCCACACTCTCAGGAGGCCTCAGTTGATCCAGGCTCCCTCCAAGGCCACACCTCAGGAAGGCTTCCGATGGACATGCTGGCTGTGTTTGATTTTTTTTTTTTTTAACAGTAATATATTGTTCTTATATATTCCCACATCCTCAAGTTCTCAAAAAAAGACCTATGTAGCATTCCCTTTCTCCGATGCCTAATCCATATTAAGATGTCCTCTTGTGCGTGTACATGTGTTTACATGCTCCAGCTCCACTCCCATAGACTGCCTGGCAGGGCTGGGGCCACGGTGACTCCGGCTTACTCCCGAAATTCCCTGCTGTGGAGAACCAGCTTCCCTGGAGAGTTCTGGGAAGGCCTTCTCAAAGACACATGTTCAACAGTGCACATGGCAGCTTTCAGACCCTCCCTAATGGGCTTAAGAATGGCTGAGCACCTGCAGAGGGAGAAAGCTATACCGTCCCCCCGCAATCCCACCCCACCCCACCCCCCCCTCCCTGAGAAACCATGAGCTCCCTTGGACTCATGCCAGGCCAGCAGAGTGGGGCTCAGGGCTGGCTCAGGCAGCCCTGCTGTGGGGATACAATCAAGACCCGGGGCTCCCCTTGAAGGCTTGCAAGCTGCTCTCAGGCCCTGCGGCCCACTCCCCCGGACAGGGAGTGCCTGGCCTTCCTGGATCTCATCTGGATCTTAGACTCTTGCTCAGCAACTCAAGAAGAATTATTCTTTGGTGCTGGTGGCTGGGAAAGTCAAAGCCAAGTCTGGATCCATCTCTGGCACTCATATGGGATTCTGGCCTTAGCTTATTTTCTCACCTTTATTTTCCTTTTGCCCCAATTCCTTGTATATATTTAATCCTCTGGTATTGCTTACGTTTTGTAAGCCAACTCCAATCCTTTTTGGAGTGAAGGAGGGCAAATAAACAAAATGCCTGTAATCTCTAGTAATCATTTGGTGAATCACTGTCCACAGTATGAGGGGGTGCAGCCCTGTGTGAGGAGCTCCCAGCCCAAAAGAAGGGCTGGTCTGAGGAAGCACTGACACTCTCCTGGGAGCAGAGCTGAGCCACACCACAGGTGGCTGCTCCACATCAACCAAAGGGCCAAGGGTGTCACCAAGACAGCGGATCCGCCAGGACAGCGCCATGCCTGGCCGCAGGTGGCAGCAGTACTTACACAAAGTGCACCACTGCCCACTTTGGTGCTGGGATTTCAGGTTGGTTCTGATTTATCTGAGGGAATCAGAGGGCAAAGAGCATTTCTATTCTCTGTCTTCCTGGTTCCTTTTTCTTTTCATTTTCTAAGAACAGGAATACTGGCAGTTGGCCTCCCACCCAGAAATCCAAGGTACCAAACAACACAGGATATGCTCATGCTGCAGCAAGGCAAGCGTGGCTCTGGCTCTGGAGGCTGACGGACTGGGTGCTCCTTCCTTCCCTCACCAGCCTCCATCCAGGGAGGCCAACCCAGGAGAGATGAGGGGCATGGGAGATCCATTCCCGACTTTGGAGCGTGCATGTCAGAGGACAGTGGCAATCTCATATTCAGGTCTCCACCTGGACTCATAGGTGGATTTTTGCAACCCCCTGTGCCACTTTGAGGTGGGTTCCCACAACCCCAAGACCTGCAATCTCTCCACAGCCTGCTGGATGTCATGACCAGCCCTGTAGAATGTAAGAGGGTGGACAGAGTTGAGGGCAGGATGATGGCCTGGGTAACAGGCTCACATCCTGCTCCACTCTGGCCAGCTGCCCTATCTGTGTGATCGCTGGTAAACCCCAACCTCTCACCCTGAAAGGCCTTAGCTTTCCCTGCACATAGCAATCCTGAACACCAGCTAATGTCAAAATCATGTCAGCAGCCAACAGAGGCAAGCCCAGGGCCCAGCCTTGGGTGGGAAGGGCAGCCAGGGCACCAGGGATTACAAAAATGTGAAGAAAACATGAATGCCAGGTGAATAAGGCCAAAGAGCTTAAGGCCTCTCCAGCCCAGAATTCTCCAAGTCCTAAACTTCTCAGACCTTCTCCATCCCTCCACCTGCGTGTCTAGCAGACATCCTGACATGTCCAGTACATAACCCCACCTCTGCACCAAACTACTCCACTCACAACCACCCATCTCCCAGTTGCTTAGTGGGCAGTCCTCAACTCCTCCCTCACCCCTGTCCAGTCCTGCAGCAAGCTTGCTGGCTCCCCTTAATGATATCCCCAGACCTCCACAGCCCCGTCAGGTCCACCTTGTGCCATCCCCCTTCCTCTGCCCTGGATAGGAGTAGTGGCTTCCCCACCCAGTACAGAGCCAGAGGGAAAAGCACAGTGAGGAGAGAAAGCAGGTAGAAACCTTTAGAGCAATCTCACGTTGCTAACACGTCTAAACACTGATACAAAAGTATCGGTTTGAGACTATCAAAAATGGAAACAACTACTCCCTGCCAGAGACAGTTTAAGAAGCTGCTTTCCACCTTTCCCCTGCCCTGACCTCACCTGCCATTCTGCTTTTCTCAGCTTTAGCCGCACCAGCTGCCCTCCTGGTCTGCAAATGCACCTAAACACCCTCCACCTCAGGGACTTTGTACTGCTGCTCCCACCCTCTGCCTTGAATGCTCTTGTAAACCTTCACACAGCATACTCCTCATTCACCTATGACCTTTGCTCCAACATCACTTTCTCAATAAGGCTTATCCTGATACCCTCCTTCACACCGTAGACCACCCTCCCTACTCCTCATGCTCGGCTGGGTCGTTTGGTTTTTGTCTCTTTTCCAGAGCACTCATCCTGCAACATGCAGATCATGCCTTAGGTTTACTGTCTCTCTTCCTGTGAGCAGGGGCAGATGGCTCTGTGCTTTGGCACACAACATGAGCTCTACACACCCTGGCTGAGTGAACAAGGGAACACGGGTGCCAGAGTGCAACCGGGGCAGGCTTCACAGAGAGGGCCTGGGAGCCATCCTCCAGGCACACACCAGCACAGCTAAGCTAACAAGGCAGCCCAGGGCCGTCAGGGGAGCTGTCTCCCATGTCAAAGGCTCCGGAGTGGACACTGGGAGATCCCTGCAATTTAGAAGAGTTCTCCAAGACCCAGAGTCAGCGTATCATTTGTCAAGGTGGAAGGTGGACACAAATGGGGGAGGCTAACAGCAGGAAACCAACCAGAAAGCAGACACTGAATTGAGGCCATGGAACTAGAGATGAAAGACAGAATCTGAGAGGTTTCCAAGGTCAGATCTACAGATGCATGTGGGAGGTGAAAGGGCGGGAGGAGGTGCAGGGAGGATCAATGGACATGGTACATGAAAAGAAGGTGCCCTCAAACATCAACATGATTACTGTGGGTCAGAGCAGCAGCCCAGGCATAAGGAGCCTACCCACAGTGCCTGCTAGGCCATGAAGCCTCTGGGCAGTCTGCCTCCCCTCCCCCGCGCCCACCAGGCCACCCCCGCAGGGCCTGAGGTCCTAAGTGTGTTCCTGCATCTCCCCTACCCCAGGCCTGCATTTCACAAGACCAGTCCCTAAACAGCAGGTGTCAGTGTGACTCCTCCACTGCTGCATCCTGGGCCGGTATGTCCAAACTAAATCAGCTGACAATAGTATATCATGCACTTACCTTACGCTGAACATCTTTTATGTGCCAAGGAAGACCAAAAAGCCATCACAGGCCAGGGTCCTGCCCCCTGCCCCCCACTGCCTCCAGGATGGGCAAGGTATGAGTTATGGAGAGCGATGCACATGCTAAAGAGTGCAAGGATGAAATGTGACACCGTGTTAATATTTTGTCCCAAAATTCTTCTGGGACAGGAGAAATTGTCAGAAATGACCTACTTGTTTTGCTCCTTAATTTCTACCAGAGCTGAAGAAGAGAAATCCCTGAGAGCTTTATACCTGGAGCAACTTGCCAGATGTATGAGTGCAAGGGAGGCACCCAAGTGGAAAGAACCGGACAGGACCAAGACTGGCCTGATGGCACAGGGTGTGTTCTGGCCAGGGTGGGAGGGAATGCAGTTCAGCTCAGGCAGGTTAATATGCAAATGTCCCAGGAAAGCCAAATTGCCACCAGAAGAGCCAGGTGAACACAAGATTCAAAACTGACCCTCCCAGTTACTGAATGGAACCTGGGAAAAACAAAGGGGGATCTGAGAGTCCTGGGGGACAAGGGAAACCTGCCCAGAACAGCCCCCAAAGATCTGGTGGAAGAAACAGCATGTGACTCAAGGGCCTCTAGATGATCCTTCAAAACATGCTTTCAGCCTTTTGCATTCTTTGCAGTGCAAAAGCTGGCCCTCCTCACAAAATCCAGTATAAATTGTTAGGGGAAGACAGGAGCACAAAGGAAAAAATCCCAGAGCTAAATATAGTGATCACACAAATACCCAAGTCAAACAAGCTGTAATATTAATGAGGCATGAATGAACAGTAACTGTTTCCAGGGCTGAATAAAGGCTGACCACCTTGTCAGGGAAGTCACACAAAGGCTCCTAGCTGGTGCCCCTTTTAGTAAGAGCAGAAGAGAACAAACAGTTCCCCCACCTCTATAGAGGGAGCCCCATTTGGGGGTTAGATCAGACTAAGAACATTTTCTTGTAGGCCAAAGGGAAAAAAAAATCTGTTTCCAGTTTAACCTGCAACAGTTGTAGACTCTGACCAGGATACATTATTAATTAGTCAAAAGAGAAGCCCCACTTTTAGTTGCCCATTGAATTAGGTATCTTTCAAACAGTGTGACCTAGAATTGACAGTACAGCTAACTCTCTGTTTACCACGGTAATGGGGATTTCTGGAAGGACGGCAGTTAATTGAGAAGCAAGAACAGTCCCATTTTGTCCTCATCAAGGCACATATCATCACTGCATCAAGGACGAAGGCTTCCAACGATTGTCCCCCGAGGCCCTCGGCTCTGCCTGGCATTGTCAGATTTAAACTGTACCTTTCTGACTCTTCAAGCCAAGTAGCGGACCCCACCACACCCTCCAATTTTTCAGGGCATGGGGACACAGGGGAAGCATGGACAATCACCTTACCCATACCTTACCCATAAGGCAGAAGAACTTCTAACAAATGACATATGATGGTTGGAGGGGAGCTCCTGAGGAGAAAGGAAGAAAGGGGCCCTGGGTCCGCAGGAGGCTGGGGGGTCCACCTCTCGGGTCCACCGAGAGGCCCAGGAGGAGACAGGGAGAGAGTTGGCTGTACTGCCGCAACAAGCACACCCCCAGCAAGCTGCCCAGCATTTCTAGGAAGGAGAAAGCAAACCGCCGTCCCACCTCGGGCTGCGCGGTCACAAGTGAGGCAGGGCTGGGACCAGTCACCATTTGGGCGGGAGGCCAGCCCCAGGTGCGGCAGGAAGGGGTGGCGCTGGCTCAGCGGCTGCAGCTCCTCGCTCTGACCCAGCGGAGCCCCTGCACGGTGCTGGGGACACAGCGAGGCCTCGGGTGCTGTCAGGCAGGGACACACACACACATACACACAGAGAGAGACACGCCATTAGAGGGAGTGGGAGTGGCAGACTGTGGGCCGAGACCAAAGGCCGACATGCTCAGAGGCAGTGTTGACCAATTCCAACCCTGAACATGTAGCCCAAGCTCAAGGTCTGAGGGAACCAGAAACGTCAGAGCTGGGACTGTGGCAGCAGCAGCCAGCCCAGCAGAAGGCCCAGAGGACCTGTGACTGGGGCCCGATCCAGACCCCCAGGCTCCTGCACCTGCACCATCCCACAAGCTACCGATGAATGGGATGCTGTTTCAGCCCTTGCTTTGTATCCTCTGGCTTCTTGAGAAAAATGATGGTAAAAGGCACATGGAGCACAGAGCTGCTTCCCGTGACTGAACAGCACAGACACAGCCACTTCCCAAAGAGACAGCCGTGGCAGTGTGAGACCAACTCGACCCACAACAGGCCTTTTCTGGGGATGGAGAGGCGGCATGAGATAAACAACTTCGCTTGTCACAGGGCAATCTTCAATTTTTGGTGCAACCTGACCCAGAAGGAGATGCAGGTCACATTTTGTTTCAGGTAGTTTCGTGAAGATTGCAACCTTCCCTTAAACAGTTCAACTAAGAGGGAAACAACTGTAACTAGAAACAGGGTCAAGAAAAATGCTAACTTGTCCAAGCCTGATAATAATTTGGAATTCCTAGAGACAGATAGTCTGACTTGGGTATGCAAATCTCCCAATCGACACATTTCTCAAAATGCTGCTGGTGGCAGTACGATGTCAAACTGAAGCCTGCGAGCAGGAAACATCAGGAGGTGGCCTAGTAACAGAGCCACTGACTAATAAATAAGGATCAACAGGAGTTTGCTGGGCGACAACTTCCTTTAAAAAGAAAAAAATGTTCTGTTCTGCTGACACAGTGTTACTGATTCCAAAAAGAAAGAGTGTATGGGGGCCTGCACTTTTGTTTTTACAGCCAGAAGATACAATTTGCACCTCCCCCACCCCAACAGGCCCCCAGGGCGACCTATCTTGGGAAAGCTGAGAGGCACCCTACCCCGGCCCGCTTTTAGTGAATGGCCAGGACACCAACATGGCTCACAGAGACCAGCTGGCATCAGGCCCCGAACTCCACTTCCCTTCCCTGAAATCTCGTCCGAGTGTGGGGCTAAGACCCAGCTTCCGCTGTGTGTGCCCCTGCCCACATGCACAAATGAGAAAAAGAGTGGCCCCACCCAGTGCAGACCCAGCCATGCAAGCAAATCACTAGGAGCTGTCGTCCACATGTTGAAAGAGGAGGTCCCACTCATGCTACCACCTGCAGAGGTCTCTGCCTTCTCCCTCTCTCACTGAGACAGAAACATCCTTTCTCACTGCCCTGTGATGCTGAAGGAGAATAACACTGAGCCAGTCAGGAGACCCACAGCCCAGTCACTGGGACATTTAATAGGAGATTAAAGAAACAAAATTATCAAAAAGGAACGTTCATTTCCTCCACCTACCAAACACCATCAACTCCCCACAGTTTGTGCAACAGGCCATTGCTTGGCTCCAACCCTTCTCTGAGCAGGAAGAGGGGCACGGCAGAACCACTCCAGGATGGCTGGCCCTGCCCAGATGTACTGAATCAGACCACAGAGTGGCAGAGGGTCTTGAGATCCCTGAGCCGAGCAGCCAAGGGACCAAACCAACCCCCAGTCCCATAACTGTAACTGGGTGCAGACCATTGGCATTGTTGTCTGGGCTGCCAAAAGCTGAGAACAGAGGAAAGATGCGAGCTCTGGCTTAGCCCGAGGGCACCCACCCTGCCTGTCGCCCAGTACTTCTGGGCCTGTAACCAACAATACTCTGGCAAGGGGTGGGGAGCACTTCCCCTACTCACAGCCATGGTAGGAGGCCGGTGACCCCCCGGCCTTGCCATATTCCTGCTCTGAGTAGCTGGTGGAGAGGTTGGGCTGGCTGGAGCCTCGGCCAAAGGTGATCTGGTTGCTGCTCATGCCGGTGGCCACCTGGGCCATGCGCTCTTTGGTTTTGAGAGCCTGGGCCCTCTCGGCCTTCAGCCGCTCCTCATCCTTGAGGAGGGCTACCAGCTGCTTTGACTTCTCGCGCACATTGATGCCCTGGTCCTTGCCGTCACGGTCGATGTACTGGAAGTCCTTCAGGGTCTGGATGGCAAAGATGTTCTCCCGACACTGCTGGGCCACCCGCTCGGAGCCTGTCTTGATGAGGTAGTCCAGCAGCGTCAGCGCCTTGTACACATGCCGCCAGTTCTTGCCGTGGTCGTTGAGCCGCTTCCACACCATGCTCATGATCTCCGAGAAAGCCACCACGTTGTAGGTCAGGTCAGCGATCTCCGTCATCAGAGAGCTGGACGGGCCCCACGGGTCATTGGACGTGGCTTCTCGCACTTTTATTTCAGCCTCTGAATAATTGTTCACAATGTTTTTCATTTGCCGTCTGATAGAGGAAGTCGCCATTTTTATGGTCTTTGTGACAAAGGTAAAAGTCCTTCAAAGAGAGAGACTTTCCTATGCCAGGGAAGTTCGTGCCCTGTGAAGGTTCAGTCTCTGTAACAGGTATGGAACAAGATCTCGGACGGTCATTTCCTCCACCGGAGCCTCAGGTCCAAGAAGCCAGAAGCCATGACCTAGAGAAAGAAAGAATAAAAGAAACACATTCCCTGTAGCATGAGCTCCTTCAAGACAACAGATTCTGGCTCAGTCTTTTTTGTAAAAAAAAAAAAGGCAGGTACCAAGGTCTGGTGGGGTTGGGGGGGGAGGGTGAGTACACACACTCCAGCCTCTCTAGGAGGAAAGAGATCCATCTTCTTTTCAAAATTATGACAAGATCAGTATTACAAGTTAATAGTGAATAAAATCTAAACTCAAGGTTAAGTGTTTGGCAGACAAGAAGTAAACATAACTGTTGTTCTATTTTCAAAACACTTCCACTGGCATGGCTCTTCTGTGGGTTGTATTTTCACTACATGGCAAAAGCCAGAGACAGAAGAATCCTAACACTGGAGGAAGCTGGTTCTGATAAATTTTAAATTATGTGTGGGAGCAAGAAAGCCTCTCATTTCAGGTATATCTTACCCCCAAAATGCCTATCTATGCCCCCCTTTTAAAGTAATCACTACAGGGGATCCCTGGATGGCTCAGCGGTTTAGTGCCTGTCTTTGGCCCAGGGCGTGGTCCTGGAGTCTCAGGATGGAGTCCCACATCAGGCTCCCTGCATGGAGCCTGCTTCTCTCTGCCCCTCTCCCCCCACCCCCTCTCTCTGTCTCTCATGAATAAATAAATAAAATTTTTAAAAATAAATAAATAATCGCTACACCTAACGTGTAGCTTGAACTCACAACCCTCAGATCAAGAGTCACATGCTCTTCCAACTGAGCCTGCCAGGTGCCCCTAAAATGCCTGTCTATGCCTTTAAAATCGTTCAACGCCTGGCTTTGGTCCACTGTGCTTCTACCTGCCCCGGGCATTTTCTGTGACCACTTTTCTCCTGACTTTTTATAAAGGTTTCCAACTACTCTTAGAGAGCACAGCCAAGGCCCTCCACCAGCTTTCAAAGTCTCCAGCACCTGGCCTGAGCTAATACAACCGTAGAAATTATCTCTTCCCCTCACTTCACAGAGGGGAAAAACTGAGGTCCAGGATTTCACATTAACAGGCCCTCCCAGCCCTATGCCACAAACACAAATCCCCACTCTCCAAAGAAGAAACATTTACTGAGCTCGAGCGGGGTCTGCATTTGACAGTCGACTCTGGCCCATGAGTTTGGTCTTTCTTGTTCACCAGTGAGCACCCAACACTATGCCCGACACAGATATAAATGCTGGTGAATGAATTTACAAAACAGATGAACAACAGCATCCGTGTCCTCAGGAAGGCCACAGTCTGGCAGGGGATAGAAGTGAGCACAGGGCACCTGAGGGTGCAGCTGGCTGTTGGAGGCTGCGAAGGCAGGTAAGGGAAGGAGCTTCAGCCAGAAATAACTCTGAGTATGTCTTCAAAGCTGAGAAGACCTGACGGGTGGGAGGAAGTGGTAATGCAGACTATTCTTCATCCATAAAATGAGGAAACTGAGGTCCAGAAGACTCGGGGATTGCCCAAGATAGAGCAGCATAGCTGGGGTCTGGACACAAGCCAGAACCCTCCCCTTGCCTATCCCCCACTACCACCTGCGGGGCTCATTCTGGGCTCTTCTGGCTGTCAAGGAGCCTTGGGCCTGGCTCTACTTTACTTACTGCTCAGGAAAACCCTCCAAGTAAGGTAGAGATGGGGAGCTCGGGGACCTCAAGTCACGAGGTCTGCTGACTAAGGTCACCTCCTCCAAAGCAGCCCATGCAGCCAGGAGCCTGCTACTTCCTCCCTCCTCATGCAGGACCCTTACTCTCCATCGAGCTGTGAGCTGTGGTGCTGCTTCTGCCAGAGAAACAATGGATGGCCTCCTCCGTCCTCATCTAAAGCCTCTGACAGGCAGTGGGAACATCCACAGAAATAAATAAGTAAACAAAAAAGTTGGGGGTGAGGGGAGCCACAGGAAACACAAAGATCACTTATCACATATGACCATACAAACAAGAGACAGCTCAAAATTTCATCCTGGTGACAATAATACATCTGCTATGGCTAACAAGGCCTCCTATCCAGCCTCAAATATGCCAAGAATTCTGTCTCCACCTGAAGCCACAGAATGGGGCTTCGGCAGAAGGCCGGCATGCTCTGCCTCTCCACTGATCTGGCCAGTTCTCATAAATCCTCTAAAGCCTGTCAAAGGACCAGGGATAAAAATTTTCCCGGTGAACTGCACATTTGATTTAGTTTGGTTTTTCATTCACAGCAATATTCACTGCTGGCAGAGATGGGATGGGCCTTAAAAAGCCAAAAAGAACACTTTGATTTTTTAATGAGCATCTCCCAGCTTAAAGTGCAAATACTCATCAAAAACAGCGGTAACATTCAGATGTACTTAATGCCCAGGGGCTCTAGGATGTGCCAGGGATCACCAGGCACTTCCATTTGTCACTCCATCTGGTGCACGGCAGGTATGACCATCCCACCCTCTGAGAAGCAGGAGGAGCTGAGATCCACTGCTGAAGAGGTCCTCAGCCACCTTCCTACAGGTCAGGAAGCAGCTTTGACTAAGCATCACAGCAAATGGTCTTCCTGGTAAAAAAGCTTCAAACAGTTGGCAATATATTGAAAAAAAAAACAAAATAATTTCCTGAGGGAGAAACGATGCCCCAGGCTGTGTTGCCCTTCTTCTGGTCCAGCCATCTGAGACCCAGTGTCCTCCTAGGGAGAGGTCAGGGAGAGGCCATGAGGCCCAACCAGCCAGGGCACCCACTGAGCCTCCTAGGCCTTCGGTGGCAAAGAAAAGACATCAATTCTTCTGATCAAGGGCCAGAGCTCCTCTGGGAAAGGAGTTCCGAACTGAGAAAACCAGGGTTAGGAACCAAGGCAGGGGTTTTCTCTAACAGGCTCAGCTTGCAAAGACATCTGTTAGCAGACTCTTTCAACTATTTAGGGCTTAAGAAAAAGAGAAAAGCTAATAAAACATTTCTTACAGTCAGAAAAATATATAAAGCCTTTATCATTTGAATGGCTACCTGCTATTTTCTTAAAGCTATAGACAAGAGCGGCTTTCAGGACAGGTACATGGTGAGGAGATCAGGGGATAGGAAATTCCTGATAGGAGAAAAGGACACGAAGGCACCTCCATAAAACCATATTCAAGGCCATCTGGGTGACGCACCTTACCGGAGACTTTGGAGACTGACACCTCCAATTCCAGCCATGAGAGAAGCCAGCTACACATGAGTGGGCCGCAGGACCATAGCCCTGGCTGTGTGTGCATGAGGCTCTCCCAGGCAGCTCCAAGACAGGGACCTGGGTGGTTCCATCATACTTGTCCATGGGGACCTCAGACCGCACTCTTCCCCATTTTAAACCTTCTCCCCCTCAACCTCAGGACCAGACTGTCAACACCTAAATATCTCTTCTCCCAGCAAACATCTGTCAGGCACTCCCTCCCAAAAGCCAGGCCTGAACACTCTCCATTCTCAAGGATACACCCTGTGCTATTTCCAGAACCTAAGTTTTGTTTTGTTATTGCTTTTTTGAACGGTGTGCATGCTCAGCCTCCCAAACTCTCCCTCTCAATCTGCCAGTTTTCTTCCGTTTCCAGCTTGCTGAGCCTTGAACTAACTAGCAGAGGACCGTGTGTTACTGCCTGAGCTCTTCACTCAAGCTTGGGAAGCTGTGGTCAGCTCACAAACACCCCATCATTTATTAGAAGCTTCCATTCAGGGCGCCGCCTTCAGTCCAGGGCGTGATCCTGGAGACCCAGGATCGAGTCCCACGTCAGGCTCCCTGCATGGAGCCTGCTTCTCCCTCTGCCTCTCTGTGTGTCTCTCATGAATAAATAAAATCTTAAAAAAAAAAAAAAAAGAAAGAAAGAAGCTTCCACTCAGATATGGAGAAGGCGGGAGGAAGGGGGGTGGTGCTGGGGACTGCCAAAACAAGAGGGAAAAATAAACTTTGTTAAAGTTTAAGCCAAGATGGCAAAAAAAAAGGGGGGGGGGTTGTTTTCATGAATTATACACTGACAACCCAGGGGACAAATGCCATCAAAACATCAGTATCTAGAAATGCCTTCAGAAATGGGAGTTCTATTGGGGCGCCTGGGTGGTTCAGTTGGCTAAGTGTCCAACTCTTGATTTCAGCCCAGGTCATGATTTCAGGGTCATGAGATCAAGCCCCATGTCTGGCTCTGCACTGGGCATGGAGTCGGCTTGAGAGTCTCTCTCTCCCCCCACAACTCGCTGCTCACATGTGCTCTCCCTAAAAAGAAACTTTAAAAACTGTAAAAATTAGGGCAGCCCCCGTGGCGCAGCGGTTTAGCGCCGCCTGCAGCCTGGGGTGTGATCCTGGAGACCCAGGATCGAGTCCCACATCGGGCTTCCTGCATGGAGCCTGCTTCTCCCTCTGCCTGTGTCTCTGCCTCTCTTCACTCTCTCTGAATGAATAAATAAATAAATCTTTAAAAAAAAAAAAACTGTAAAAATTAAAAAATAAAACAAATTGAGGTCTATCATCAGGAATTACTTAGAACTATTTCATTACATAAGAGATAAAATCTGTAAAATTCTGTTACAACTTTAAATATTTTCTGGATAGAGACAAGTTGGGATTTCTATTCAAAGCAAATGCATTTTTCTGCACAGGAGCCAGAGGATGTCCATTTACTTTCCTGGATGGGATGACCAGGGGCCCCCACCTTACCTCCAGCCCCACTCTAGCCCCAGCCTTGAACAGCCTGTTTTGAAACTGTATTAACCATTCATTTTATTAAGAACCAAGGCTTCTGATTCACGTGATAACCACCAGTAACCTCACTGAGTTGATAAAACCCAAAAAAAGGCAAAGAAGCTGAGTATTTCAACTGGCCTAGGGAAGTCTCACCATGTGCAATGCACATCTCTGTCAGGCCTTCCAAAAGGCCCTCGGGAGCTCTGAAGACTTTGCATCAAAAGCCTGTCTATTCGGTATGGAAGGGAACACTCATTTTTGTACAGTCAGGTTCCAATACTAGAAAAGGTTCTTTAAGCCAAAGGAATATTTCATTTCTGTCCTGGAA